GGTGGCAGCGCGGGTCGGAGAGGGGACGTGGTCCTGTCAGGCCGTGCGGGTACAGGCTGGCCCGGTGCCCGAAAAGATGTTTTTCTTTGCCTCCTTCTTCTCCTGCCAACAATAACACCTCATAAACCGGGCAGGGTGCGAGCCGGCTGCGGGCAGGGGCCCACCTGTGGGACGGTTTGGGGAAATTGTACGTTTTGCCTCTTTGTTTCTTGTCCCAGTGTTGATAAAACGATCGATATGCTGTGCCTCTCGCTTTTTCAACAGCTTTGTCCTTTTATAGTGTCTGGTTGCTGCCATCCCCCTTTTCCTGTGTTGTAGCTGGTTTCAATGTGATTGGTAATCGGGGGAGATTCTGGCTGTGTTTCCCTCCCTTGTTCCGTTTGCTAAATTTACCATGATTTAGTGAGTATTTCTGTTGGAACGTGGGAGATCCTGATAGCGATAAAATACTTTCTGTGGTATCTATCGGCTTTTAGCTTTTTCCTACTTGGAGGCAGAAAATGAAATGTTTGCTAGAACCTCATTGGCTTGTTTTAAGCTCGTTTGCTCAAATGCGTATAAAAGCTGTTTGTTTAATGAGATTAGACTGGGTAGTACTTGTGGTGGTCGGCCTAGTACAGCTTTCAGGTGAGGCAGTCTTCCACCTGTTGTGTATATACATGTATATTACATTACTAAATGGCCAAGGTATTTCTTACAGAGATGTCTATGGTTATGTGGCATTTTTATGGGCAGTGTGAGCAATTGTTAAGAAGATGCTCAAGCTCCTGTTGCACAGGAGGTGGGTTGTTTGTAGCAGTGAGATTCTTGGTGTGACTATTGAGAGACTTGTGAGCTAGCAGTTACATTGCAGAAAAAAGTCTAAGGGTCATGTTCTTAAGTAAACCAGAATACATTTCTGTGCGCAGTAGGCTTGTCTGTGTTTATGAGCATGGAGATCTAGAGAGGAGTTTGCATTTTGGAGCCTGAGATTCCGTAGGAGTTTTATGTCAGCAGTTCTCTCACTGAGTATTCATGACATTGTTCAGACTGATAGGTGTTTTGCACCTTCTTTGGTTATTAGAGGAGAAAATGTTTTTGGAGGCTGTGTACAGAGTGGCCAGGTGTCTTGATCATACAAGCGTACGCCAGCATCTGCATATGGCTGAGAGCCGCAGCATACGCGCCTCAGATAACGGACGTGGAGAAGCCTATATGCAGTTTGCAGGCAGGTGCTGATTGGAGGGTCTTTGAATCTTTATTTCAGGATGGAATTGGACTGAGTGTGCTTCTGGGTGAACCAGAATTACTGATTCCAGTAGTCCCTCCTGCCTTTCTTTCACAACCAAGAACTTGTGTTTTCTAGCAGCCTCCACATCAGCACGTGCTTGGTGTTAGCCATTCAGTACTGTAGCTGTCAGATAAAAGTTGGAGGCAGTGCCAAAAGCGACAGGCTGGTTGTCTGTTCCTGGGATGAATTGCCTGCTAATAAAGAACAGAATTTCTCTATATATGCATGTTATGAAAATGTCCAGAATACCAAACAGGAAAAACAGTCTCTCTGGGGTTTGATTGAAGAACTAAATAGAAGCAATCATTTTGCCATAAAATGGTTCTGTACATTTCACATGGAATTTCTGAAAAAAAATCAGACTTTGAGACTGCTTAGAAATTGAAACCGGTATATCTTTAGTGAACCTGTATGGCTGAATACTTAATGTTGCTTACTTATGACAGTAGAAATCAGCTCTGAGGACTGAGGGAGGTGCATCATCACTAGAGAGTCTATTAAATGTTTTTTGACCTTAAGTTTTTTTTTCTTCTTGTTGTACTTCACACTGTACTACTTCGCATTATGTAAGTTTTACTGCTTTCTGGTTTTCACTCTCAGGTCACATATCACTTATGTTTACTCTCTGCTCTGCTTGGTGAATCATTCTTTAGCAAGTGGCTGTGAAATCCGTAGTATGTATTCAGGAACATTAGAGAAATGTGTTTTTAATGTAAAAATGACAGAAATGTCTAGCATTTTGTGTACAAAATTACTTTGTAGAGTTTCTGCTAGGCTAAAAAAAGTTACCTTCTGTTTCTTGCTTTTTTCCTCAGTCACTGTAATTATTCAACTTATTCTTCAATTTTATTCTTTAAATATCTATCTACTCTTAATTTTCTTCTCTCTCTGGTTCCTTTTTCTTGTCTTCCAGTTTTGACCGTACTAACACCATTGCTGGTTTGCTACTCTTAGAGTGTTACCTTTTCCCAGTATCTGTACTTGGCGATCAGACACTATGAGGAGACTGGCTTTTCGAGGTGCTGGTTGTACTCTGGTAAATCTGGTAAATTATCGATTGTATGTGCACCATTCTCTCCATCATCTGCCTTAGGTTTTTGTTTTTCTTTATCCTAACTGTTAATTATTCCTGCCGTGTTCTTATTCATCTAATTTCTGTGCTTGAAATTAATTCTGTCTCTAACGTAAGCACTCTAATGCGGTTATGTTACGCTGCCATACCTTGTAAATCAACTGTGTGCTTCCTAGAAGAAATTCATTCATTTACTTGGAAAATGGGTGTAGGCTGGGATAGACGGATCTATTCTGTCTTCAGCTTTTGAGACAGCTGCAAATAGAGACATTTTACTGTCACTGGAAGTTGGGAACAAGCCAACAACTTGTTCTGTAAATCACCATAGTTGTTGGATGGTGATTAATTTGTCACTGTTTGTTGGTAAATGGAAAACTATGGCCAAAAAAGGAGGTGGCTTTTTCTGTTTTGTGATGATTAAGCCATTCATCCTACACGTAAAAGTAGGTGTGGCAGGTCACACAATGGTCGAGACCTTCTTTTGGCTTGAATCTGAGACAAGGTATTCAGTAGCCATTTGAATTTTCATTTATAATTTGGTTTCTTCCTGTTTTTTTTTAATTTGTTTGGTTGCTGGTTTGTTTTTCTAATTGACATGGAATGACGTGCTTTTGCACCAGAACTAAGCACACAACTCTGTCAAGCTTTTTCCTTTAAACCAGCAGTTCTCTCTGAGTTATCATGCATGGGATGAGGTGTCAAAATGTGGGTGATTTGAGAACATATCCTAGTAAGAGCTACTAAATTAATCTTCATCACTGTGAGGTCTAGGCTCTCTGACATTGCTGTCATTGGTGACTATAAAACTGTAGGACCATTTTGATTTCCTTTTACTCTTGACAATTTTCAAAAAGCTGGTGTTTAGATATATGGCTTAACTGAACTGTAGTATATAACAAACGTATGTGACTCAAAGTAAGCATTGCTAGCTTTATAGTTAGCTCTTACTGGAGAGTTTTGATGCATTGCCATGAGTTTAAGAACATCTCTCTTCATTATAGAAGAAGTTGGATTCTATGGGTTCCAAGAGGCGAAGAGCTACCTCGCCTTCCAGCAGTGTCAGTGGAGGAGACTTTGATGACGGCCACCACTCCATGAACATACCAGGCCCAAGCAGAAAGAGGAGGAGACTTTCCAATCTCCCAACTGTCGATCCTGTTAGTACCTTCTTATTATGCACAATTTTTTCTTGGGAATACTGTATCCCTGTCTGTGAAATGCTGCATTGTAAAATGGAGGATCATACGTAGCACATATACACTGGCCTTGAATCTGTGGCTACCTTCGCTAAGCTTTGTTTGGGATCTCGTTCAGCTTTGGCTTGTCCTTGTCTCCTCAGTTTCATCCTTTTCTTTCCCATTTTCCTTTTGCTGTTTTTCTTTTTTTGCTGATGGTTTTAGCAGACAGAAGGATGTTGGAGAAGCAGCTGAAATCATAACATGCAGAAGTTGAGAGCCGTGTCTGAATAGCAAATGCAGAGAGAGATAAGTGGGGAATGGTACAGGCAGAGATTGCTGAAGTGTACAATGTCTCTGTTACAGCTTTGAGTTAGCAGTCTAATTAATTGCAGGGCAGAAGAACCCCTGTTGTTTTTTTAAATGTGTGTAACTATGAGAATTGTACTGAAATAATTTATATTTTCGCTGTTTTACTTACAATTAGCATTGAAAGAAAGCTGCCTATGTTCAAAAAAGTAAGTTAAAATTCTGCAGTACCTGGCATGCTTGTCAGGTATTGTACTAATGTATGAGATGCGCCAATTTCTCCACATGTCTGCTTTAGAGCACGCTGTGGATTGGCAGCTTGTCTTTCCCACTGTAAGCAGGCTTTGATTTATTACCTCCTTACAATTCTCTCCTTTTTCACTACTTTATTGTTCTTGCGTTTTAGATTGCAGTATGCCATGAACTTTACAACACCATCAGAGATTACAAAGATGAACAGGGCAGGCTCCTTTGCGAGCTTTTCATCAGAGCACCGAAGCGAAGGTAAGACCATGATTCTGATTAAGCCTTGAAGCCAAGACTTAATCAGGGAATAAGGGGCTATTGAGGAATACTTCAGCATTAATAGCTGTGAAAAATTTAAGCTAAATTTGTCATAGTTTCAGGTTTTGATCTGACGTAATTTGCTGTAATTATTCCATGGGACATGCTAACATTGGTGCCCTTTTTCAGACAAAAAAGGATACACTAAATTAATATAAAATGTTTCTTGTGACCCCTGCCTAAAAGATCTATGCCTTTGACTATAAAATATTCCACGTAAGTGGTGGAATGGAATACTAAGGGCATATCTTGGGAAGATTAATAGAAGTGACCCTTGAAAATGCAGTAGATGAAGTCAGAGACTGAATTTTATCTTAAACTCTGAACATTGAGGATGATAACAGAACATGTTATAAAGTAAGCCTACTAATAGACCAATGTTCAGATCTTTTAGCTGTAATAAATATTTTGGAACTTTGTTTTATTTAGTTGTAGTCACATACAAATTCAGTGCTGTGGTTTTGGTTTTACTGCTTGGAATATAATGCCTGTTTTTGTCATTGCAACAGAAATCAGCCAGATTATTATGAAGTGGTTTCTCAGCCAATTGATTTAATGAAAATCCAACAAAAGCTAAAGATGGAGGAATATGATGATGTGAATGTGCTGACTGCTGATTTTCAGCTTCTCTTTAACAATGCGAAAGCTTACTATAAGGTGAGGAAAATACGTATAAAGGCTCAAATTCATTGTAAAAGTGGTAGAGGTATGTTCACATTCTTCCTTGGTTTGGCCAGAAAACTTTTCCATTTAGCCTTTATTAGTGGTAAGAGAGCAGCATGCATTGCAATTATTTGCATATATTTCCGTAAGGTTGGCTGTGTCTTTGAGGTGTCCTACTACAGCAGTTTTTCTGTGGAAACCTATAAAATAATGTGGGGAGGATCTTCATGTAGTTTTTAAAAAAGAGATGGAAAGCAAAAATAGAGATGTAAACTGAGAAAAATATTCTTCTATCAAAGCCTTCCCATTTTACAACACACTGTGTAACCTTTTGAAATGGAAAGTTATTTTTTTTCCCAAAAGGAAAAATTGGCCACTTAATAGCATGAGAAAAAGGCACATTGATTATCACGGTCAGTGATAGTAGATTGTGAGTGTATGTGACGATGTATTTCATCAAGGGTGCAACCCCCACATCCATTTCCCCAAACTGGGTATGTGTTTTAATTTAGATATTAATGGTTTTTATTGCAGTTGCTGTAAGGAAGTGGGAAAAAGTTGGAAAAAGTTGGATTAATCTTGTTTTATAGAAGGCTATGTTAAATACATAAAACAGTGAAATTGTATGTAGTGACTGAGATGACACAGTGAATCTAAAACTGCTAATATTGCCTTTCATGTATCTTTGACTTTGGAGGTGATCCAAAAGACTGCTTTCTGAATAACCCAACCAGTGTAACCAGGTGACGTTCAGAAAAGCAGTGTTTATTTTGTTTATGTTTGTGTGTCTGTAGCTATTTGAAAAACATTCAGATTTATGGATTAATGCATTTGCACATTCTGGTTACTGCAGAAAAAGTACAAAGATTTCCAAATTCATTGTGAACTCCTGAAGCTTTGCAAGGCACTCGCCCATTAATGTTGGCTTTTTCATGGTTTCTACATGAGGGCGAAGGACTTGATGGCAGGAAAGAATCAGAGTTTTATAGAATGTGCACTGCCTTTGCCTACAGAATTGTACCTGTATTGTAAAAGTCTTGCAGGTAGACTAGAAACAGGTAGACATTATTCTAGGATGAAGCAATGTTGACATTTCCAGAGAAACACGGAGTTGTGAGCTGGAGGTACAGCACACAAACTTAACCTCTTCTTTTTTCATCTTCTACCTTACCCATGCCATTCCAATGATGCATATAAAACAGGACGTCTGATTCATTGTCAAGGTCTTTATTGTAGCAGGTGGTTTATTGACAAACCTTACGATTTTTTAGTATTTCAGTTCAAATCTTACGCTTTTGAGCATCTTGCATTAATATAGAAGGAAGCAGACTAGTGGAGCAGAATACCCTTTAAATCTGTTCTTCATAATTAACATCTGGTCTAATGTTTTGAGAATATTTAACCCTAATAAGGTAAACTTAACAGTAGTTCTCATGTTCATTTCTCATTTGTATTACAAGCTGTCAGAGGTTGAGAGAGTGAAGTAACAATAGAGTAATCAACAGCAATAAGGTGACATACCTGCAGGAATAGCTGAAATGAAGGTTAAGTGACAGAGGAAAAGGAAAGAAAAATACATGAGAGTATGAAAATACAGGGTGGACAAGCAGTCTTTTTTCTGGGTAATGTTTTTAAGTAGTAGCATTAATAGGCACATGCCTTGTCTGCCACTGCCAACTCTGTATTGACAAAACTTAATTTGCTGGCTAATGCTTCTAGCTCATCCAGAAAATGTACCTAGATGTGTACCCAGGTGGTGGCATGTTGTCAAGTTTTTTTGAATTTAACAGTTAATGCTGGATGTAAATCACTGCAGTGCTTTCAAAGACAATGGCACATTTATTTGCATTCTTCTTCTGTAGAAATTAATTTTCAGGTGCCTCACAATGGCAGCAGTATTGGCTTAAATCACATTTCTGGCATACTGATATTTAGTCTGTTTTAAATATTGGTGGTGTTATGCTTCAACAAAACCTAATGATTTTTCCAGATTCATCTAATAGGCTTGTCCAAGCTTCAACCCAAGTAATTTTATTGCTAAGTTCTCTGAAAGGCTTAGATGCTTTGCAGTGATAGAGGTTATATTTTCTAGTGCTTATTGTGATTCTTAACATCTCTGTCAAAGAACGACTGAAGCAGGAATTTCCCAGGTCTTCTGTTATTTATTTCATGCATTTAATACCTTTCAACTAGTAATTTATAAATTTCCTTCAAGTAAGAATGATCTGAATTTTGAGTAGAATGTTTGATTTGTGTTTGCAGCCTGATTCTCCTGAATATAAAGCTGCCTGCAAATTATGGGAGTTGTATTTGCGCACAAAAAATGAATTTGTTCAAAAAGGTGATGCTGAGGAGGAAGACGAAGATGAGGAAGGACATGACAATCAAGGCGCAAATTCTGAATTAGTAAGTGTGGGCATGACAGCTGCAGTTGGAGGAAGCCATGGCTGTGTGTGTCTGCTGATTGGCCTCTGTATGTGAAAAAGCATTAAGCCTTTCCACAGTTAAATTGTGCCCCAAAAGGTATTTCTTATACAACTTTATTAGTTAATAATTTCGCAGCATTGTTTGTATGATTCACTTTTGCCTAGCAAAAAACAGTTATGAGGTTTTCTGATATGGATAAAATGTGGTTCTGGTTTAGCTGAAACTGATACGATGCGTGCTTAATATCATGCCAACATTGAGGTTTGATGCAAGCATGCTTCATTTCTAATGACGGATTTCCAGCGTGTGTCCCATTCAGTCAGTGCAGCTGTTCCTGGAGTGTTTTGTAAGCTAGATGTGATGATAGGAAGTTTGGGCTTGTCTGCTTTTTGTGATGTTGGGATGCATCTTTTCGTTAATGCTGACAACCAAGGCTATTCTAACAATATGCAGTATATGTCTGACAGTCTGCAGTGTAAATGGGAAATTAAAGTTTTCTCATGTGCTTTATCTAAATGCATAAACCATGTTGCTTTCAAAAGTTGCATTCATGTTTTGGAGCTGAATTTTTCTGTCTTTGAAAAGTAAATTCATATATTTCAGTGCAACTTAAAGCGCTCCGCTATGGCTGCTATTAAAACTTCTTGTGATTTCATTTCTTTTATTAGTCATCTCCAGGTTACCTGAAGGAAATTCTTGAACAGCTTCTTGAAGCTGTAGCTGTTGCCACAAACCCATCAGGACGCCTCATAAGTGAACTGTTTCAGAAACTTCCTTCTAAAGTGGTGGGTATTTTAATAAAATGGGTTGTCTTCAGAGTTGGAAACCTGGACATTTATATAGCTGATTTTATACACTGATGGGCACACTCAGGTTGCAGTTCTTTGTCTCATCAGTGGCAAATTCCAGCTGCTTTTAGAGCTTTCCTCTCTTCCTTGCTCCTACCCACTCATTCCCAGCCCTTTCTTGCAGATTGGGGCTTGGCCTGTTTTGCCAGTTTAACTAATCAGGGGTTTTTTTTGGTGCAGAGTTTTTAATCTTTTTAAATACATTTGATTTCACTGTTTGGTTTCAGGGTATGGTGTAACAAGTTTAACCAGCAAAATAAATACTCTGAAGACCATCACCATGTATTTGGCTTTCAGACAGAACTGTTCCTTTACGTCAGTTTGTTGATGAATTATAATTCCTTGTGTCTGCCTTATGATCTGGCTCACCCAAATTGAAGGCTAGTGCTATGTTTAGGAAGCTTACACTGTTCTTATCTGCAGTTCATCTAATAGCTCATTCTGTAAGCTATTAGAACAATAGCTTTTTGACTGTTTATAGTAATATATAAATTATTTTTGTTTTCCAGCAATATCCAGATTATTATGCAATAATAAAGGAGCCCATAGATCTTAAAACTATTGCTCAAAGGATACAGGTACAGTATGAGCATACTAATGTGTCAGAGTATACACTTGTTTAACAGTATGCATTCTAAAATTGTTAGAAGCCAAAGTTCATGGCAATAGTAAAGGCAATGATTTTTTTCCCCTGCTGTTTAAAAATCTGAACACTGTGCGGATTTAATGTTCTGTCCTGGGTTAGTGCTGCAGAAGTAGCTGTGTTGGAGATCAAACATCGTAAATTGTAGTGTGCTGGCGTTGAGCCTGAATATCTTAGGTTCCTTGATATTTAATAGTTTAAAGTAGTTCCTTGGCAAGTGCTCTGATGTAAAACGTTGAAGTATTGACGCTTAGTAGGTGCATTATCATCACCTACTTTTGTTCTAGTGCTATTAATAGATGTTTTGTACTGATGCATTTTTTGTCTTCTCCAATAATTTGAAATGCTATTCTGGAATTCTAGCATTTTGTATAATAGTGAGCACATAGACTAACTGAACTAGAGAATAAAAGTAAAATAAAATTTTGTCAGAACCCTTCAAAGTTAAGATAATCTAATGTATTAAGTATTTTTCAGTCTTTTACTTAGCATTTGTAAGCTCTATAAGGACTAGCACTTATGTTTGTTAGTTTCTTTTTTGATTACTTTTTCCAGGTACTTATCTGTCCTCTTTATAAACATGTTCTTTTTTCTATAAATGTTCCGTTTATTCCGTATGAATTTCTTTTGCATGAATTCCCTTTGCATTTCACTATTGACTTAGTTCTCACGCTGTCTGAAGGTTGCCACTTTAACCAGTTCTGGTTTTTGTTGCGTAGAATGGAACTTACAAAAGCATTCATGCCATGGCCAAGGATATAGATCTTCTGGCAAAGAATGCCAAGACCTACAACGAGCCTGGATCACAAGTATTCAAGGTTAGTTTCAGTTGTTCATAGCTTGGTTTGAGTTCAGATTTTCTTTACTACTTTCTGTGTTAATTGGTCCTTAAATGAATCTTTAGCATAAGGCCCTAAAGGCTCTGTTTGCATTTTTTAAAAAATAGCTGCTATTAGTAACTTTTCTGTTTTTTGTATTGGATTTAGTATGATTGGGGTGTATATGTGTATTTTTTTTTCTTGAGGTATATGATTTTTTTTTTCCAATTAAATTTCACCTTGGGATATGAATTACATGACTTCTTTGGAGGAATGGAGGATCCCTGTACTTGTGATTGAAGTTGAAATGACTGAAACTACAGGTTCAAGTGATAGCGGTAGTACTCGGCTGTTAACTCTTTCCAGCTGGCAGGAACTGTTTATGATTTTCGTCATAAACTTCGAAAGTGGAGTCATGCCTTTTTTGCATAGTTTCTGAAGATCCTCTTCCTTTTAGCCATATTGTTGTGACCAAATTGCACCTCTGTCCTTTTCATACTTAGTTCACCAGCGTTTTGTGTACAAATAATCAGCATTGCTGTTTCCATGTACTCTGGAAGTAGAAGGATTTCAGTGGTAAATTATCTTTGTGTGCTCAGTTTTTGGGGGCTTTGTAGTGAGAGATCTTGTATATGTGTAACAGTATTATGTAAGTGGTTCTTGGACTTTTCCTATTGTACTTCTGTTTGGATTGTAGTTTCAGTTCCTAGTGACATTACATTTGTAACCTCACTCAAAACTTGTAATCTCTGTTTTGTGAATTGTTCCTCTAAGTATTGAGTCCACGGGCGTAGAATGAGAGACAGCAAGCATTGTAAACGTTGGAAATGGTAATAACTTTTTGATTGCGAAGGCACAGAAGCTCATTTGCCTGTTTAGTTTGAAGTGGTATTTGTGTGTGTTTGCAAATTGTAGATTTTTCTTTTTTTTTTTTAAGATATGACAAAAAATGAGCTTGAGGCTACTTAGCTATTCTGTTCAGTTTTTACACGCCACTGTGGGTGGCCTATTTCAGGCAGACTTTGTTCTGAGCTTCATTTATCATGCAAAATTTGTTTTATATCTAAATGTAAAACCCCTTCCTTTTTGTTTTAGATTTTAGGTAGATGGATATATATTATAGTATTCTTCACTTTCAACATTAAACAAAAAAATTCTTTTGACAGGATGCAAATGCGATTAAAAAAATATTTAATATGAAAAAGGCTGAAATTGAACACAGTGAGTTGGCCAAGTCAAGTCTCCGAATCAGGTACTGCAAATAGAGTTTTTCTTATAATCTCATATAAAAATCTCTATAGATGTTCCCTTAATTTTGCTGTGGAGAATGTAGGGGGAAATAATTGAGCACTTAGTTTATTGTTGTTTTGAAAGTTATAAATTGTAAAATAGTTTTTGGAAGGAAATTTTTTGTTGAAATACTTCTGTGGTAAAATATTTCTGTGATGTACTTAGTTATGAAAAACGGTGTCAGTGGATCTTTTATAACTTAAACTATGGCAAGCTTCCACCACGTATTTATAAGTTAGTAACAGAAAAGGAATAGTAAGGAACAAACTGCTTTGTCGTGCTTTACGAAAAATGCTGGATATTCTTGAACCTTGTTAGTAGCTGAAACACAAGAGCTCACAGTTAGTTAGATAGGGGCAGAAACATAGGAGTAAGACCTTAGGCAAAAGATATTGAGAGGGAAGTCTGCGTTACATAAACTCTTGTTTGAAAATGCATTTCTAGCTATAAAAAGAGGCACGGGATGCTGAAGATCCGGACTTATTAATCAGTGAAGCATAGATTTGATCTTGAACAGGCGGGTATAACTGTTGATAGCTCTGTTTTTTTCATGGAATGATTTAATTTAGGAAACACATTTTCCTCCTCTGGAAATCCATGGTGTACAGAGAAGTGATGCAGTCATTTTAGATGTTTCTTATCTGAAATGCAGTTAGATTTCTTCTCATATAAACTTTTTACTTGTGAGTGACACTTGAAAGTAGGTTTAGATATTATTTGCCAGTATGAGCCCTGTCATTTATCTGAAAAAAATAAAGCAATGTCTTGCAAGTCATCCAAGGAGTTAGCAAACTCTTTACAGGGTGGACTTTCTTTATGTATTTGATATGGTATTTGATGCTGCAACATAACTGCTGTCATTGCCTGGAAACGTTTGTATGGTACAACTGAAAACACTAGGACTCCCTTACTTTGCTGAAAGACAGTTTAAATTTATTTGTTGTCTGAAAAATGTGTAGATGGTGTCAGTATTAAAAATGTTGCCTAGGATTATTACGTGTGAAAGAAATGGAAGTTACCTTGTTGATTTTTACTATTTCGTGCTTTGAGACATTCAGCCTATATAGTGTTTTTTCTGGTTTATTTGTTCAGCATTAGCATGCTTCCTTCCCATCTTGGGGCGAATCATTGTTGGAGCATATAAAAATATAAAAGCAGAAATAGTGTTAGGGAGTAATCCCTGACACATTCTGATAGTTTTCATTCTTAAAAGTATGTGTAGTGCCAGAAGACCTTGATTCTACAGACACTGAACATACATATGTGTTTACTTTGCAGTAGCTAGAATTACGTATAAGCATAGAGGTTTTCTATTTAAATTGTGATTTTATTTTATCTTTCTTACTGTGTTGGGCATTGATGAAGCTCAGGATGTCACATGTGTGTGTCATGTTTAATTTCGAGGCTTAACTTTTTCTTCAAAATAGAGCTGTTCACATAAGAAGGGACGACAGATAAATCACACTGATTTTTTGTTAGTTGAATTCCTCTCTTGCACTGCCAGCCCATTTCCACTTCTCAGATATCTTATTCTAGATGTTCTGTTGTATACTGTGTTCTCAATAGACCTGCAAATCCTGAAGTAATCTGAATGTCAGAATAATGGACAGCTCCCTTCTTGTTTCTCCAACTTGGTAAAAAAACCAAAACCAAAAAAATCCTGAAACAGGCTACAATAATATTGGGCGGAATGCAAACAAATTTTGGGTGAGAGAAAAGTACCATGGAAATCAAACCTTTCACTTGCTCTTCTGCATTTCACTGGTTGCTTTTTTTATCAAACCATATTGTTTTTTTCTTTCTTTCTGCTGAATCTGCATCACAGAATCATTTTTATTTAAATTCCTAACTGCTTGATTGTCTCAAAGCAGGGTCTCCTTTACCTATTGCTGATTTTGGTAAAATACCCCCATAAGTTAATTTACTATATTTTTCTTCTCAATTTACCTTTATTTTTCTTTGTCTTTGGTGGATCAGGCTCAAATTCATCATAACACTACTAACCTAAGTTCTACAGACATGTTGCTTCTGTGTCAAAAATCATGCTTTTCTATTGCAGAGTTGGTTGTATCCTTTGTCATACTAAATTGCTTTTTGTTGGTGCATTTAACTGTCCTCCCTTAAATAAAGTGGCAAAGTTTCTTGACAATATGCACTGTCAAGCAACTTGATAGTGATTTTGTTAAATATTGGTAAAACATGATTGGATCTGTATGATGAGCTTTATCTGGATGCTAAGGAACATTTTGGTGGCTGCTTTCACTGCTATTGTAGGCTGAGCTGTATTAATCCTCAATCTAAATGTTACCTCCCTCTGACTTTATAAACAAAATCGATATTAGTGCTGGAGCACTAAATGTATTGTATTACTTTACTGTTAGATTTAAAATGTTTTATATCTGTCTCTGAACCTTTTGGCTGATCTATCAAAGTAATTCTGTAAAAAGCTTTATCCTTGCTGTGTCTTTCCTTGAGTCTAAGGTGGGCCTCTTTTTTTCCTCTTTCCTTGGCTTGCCTCTTCTACCTTAAGGACTCCATCAAATTTGACTGCTTCCAAGCTGACAGGTCCTTCCTCACAGGGTAAAGGCAGTGTTGGTGATGAGAGAAATTCTTCTAACAAATATTATCGGTAAGTAAATTGTGGACTTGGAGGAAAAGCAAGGTCATCATCATACGGAAATACTAAAATTTTGTGGTGTTGGGGTTTTATGTTGTTGTGTTTTTTTTTCATTAGTTGAGAGTGATCTTAAATATTGACTCAAATACTCTTGAGTTTCAAATGTATTTCAGTCAATATTAAGTATGATTTAATAAGTTACTTTGCCATAATTATTCTTCCATGTTTCATTTTGTGTTTTAATATTTCAAAACACCTGTCATGAAATACCCTGTATGCAATTATTTCCTTAGAAATGTTCTGAAGAGCAGTATGTTAAGCTTCATTACAAAATAAAGCAGATGGAAAAAAAAATGGAAATGTGTTGTAAACCTAGAAAAATCATATTTGGAGACTAAAAAGAAATAATAAGTAGGACTAAATAATTAAGAGATAGGTGTTGGAAACCAGTGAAGCCCGTAAAAAGGAAGTATTGCATTTAGGATGCGTTTATGGCAAACTTGCTGAGTAGACTGGATTACTGGAGGCTTTCTGGTTTGTCCTTTGAGTCATCAATTGAGAATTTTGGTACCTAGCAGAGGTGTCGTGTTTATAGTCTCTTGGTTACTGTCTTGAAACAGTACTACTTATGGCTAATTTCCCGCATGTATACTCTGAAACCACGGTTTGACACTGCAAGGGTCTTTAAGGCATTGAGCATTTGTACAGAGTTGGTGTCATTTTAAGCAACCCATCTGTTTTTTCCTAGTCTCCACTTTGCTTCCACAGGGCAAGGCTGAGCCCATTGCTGGAGGTGTCTAAAGAGCTGACCTAGTAAATAAAGCAGAGATTGTCAGGCATAGCCTACAGTGTAGGTATGAAATGCTCTGCCCCAGGTTTGGGACAGAAGGGAGGAAAAGAGGGATGCTGAAGAAGTCTTTGTAAGACAATAACCAGCATGGATGCTGATTTACTCTACTAGAAGGCAGAGGAAACTGCTTCACATACAGGCACTATGTGTGCTAAAAATGCGTAAAGTGGGGATGGGGGAATGGGAGAAGATGGCATATACGGCTTACAGTGTGCTGAATTCCTTCACGTAGACAAATCCCTGTAAAATGATCAAATAACAAAATTATTAATTGGGAGGGACTTGTTGTCATCCCCCTTCTCCCCCAGTAATTCAAATACTCGAGTATTCAAAACAGGACAGAAGACAGCTAGCTTGAGCTCTAGCTTACTGATAGTGTCCAGTTTGTCATATTGATGGACCACCTCTTAAAACAGAGGCAGACTCATCGGTCATTAACAGTTTCTCTTGTTAAGGTCTCCAGCCTTTTCTTGCATAGTCCTGTCTGTATTCCTGATAATGTAGGCAGCTGTTGTGAGCTTCACTTGTTTACTTACACGCTCTGGGTGATGTTAATGGTTAACCTGATAACGCTTTTCTTTTTATTTTTAGTTTTTGCACTTTTTTTTTACTTTTTCTCTTTTATAGTAACAAAAGATCAGCCCAGGGGGATCGTTTATCAGCAATAACCATGGCGTTGCAATATGGATCAGAAAGTGATGAGGATGCAGCTTTGGCTGGTAGGAACTGAAATGCAGTTTCTCTATTTATTTTCTTTAATTAAAATGTTTGGAATAAGCAAAACCGTAGAGCTCCTGATACATTCAGATAGCTTTATTTCAAAAATATTTTGCAGTGTTTCCAAACTCAGCGTGTAATTCTGTTAAATCCTATCCATCTTTCCTCTGAGTACAAATTTATAAATGTACAGCTGGTGAGATCGGGTAGGCCAGACTCGCTTGCTTGTTTTGAATTTACTGTGTGTGTTTCAAAGTGTACTTATTAAAGCTTTAGGAAACTGTTGCTAGTTTTTATTCCTTCTAATATGAAACAGAAGAGGAAACACTGGAGAAGACATTGAGTGCTCCTTGCAGTAAAAGAGATTTACAATACTGCAATTGTTTGAGAGAAATCTCGCTCACACTGGCTTGTTCTTTCTTGCTCTCTTGTGCCATTGGGTCTTTTAAGTACCTGTCGGATGTAATTTTCTTAAGGTGAAGATACTCTAAATGGGATATAAGGATAGATAAATGTTAGAGCTTAATGTAGAAATATCTGGTCTAGCCTAGCAGTCATGAAATCTTACATGAAGGTTTATGTTAAAGCAAAACGACATAAAAAGACATGCCTTCATACAGCATCTGTAGTTTCATATAAGCATGCTTTAGCATTATGCTATAAGCATATATGCATTATATCAGATATTTCAGTATTGGTCTTAAATTGTTATAGGTTGTCTTTTAAGTTAACCTGTGTTGATAGTTGTATTCTCAGTAACTTCCTTGCATTCATCTCAGAGCAGGTTTCCAAAATGGTTTTGTACATATACTGTTGTTGTTGGGGTTTTTTGTTTACATTTTTTCTGCATTGATGTGAGGTGATGCATCTCTTCAAAATATATTTTTGGGGCATTTATGTCACACTTGGTAATTGAATTGTACTCAGCAATGTTTTCCAGTGGATGGATATGCTGTAGAATTTCTTGGATCATTTTAAATCTTGGTACAAGCAAAAGCATTTTTATTCCTGGATAGCCCAGGGTTCAGGTATTGCTCCAGAGCTGCTGCTTTCTGGGAGATGTGAGGAGTATTTAGCTTGGTTCAGCGTGATTGTAGCTGCTATTTTTGCAAATTGTAATTCTGTAAAATCGCATACCTTTATATGTCTTCATGTGATTTAAATTCTTGAAGTGATATAACCGCTTTCGGGTGCCACCTTTACTATGGACATTGTAATTTTCATGGCACCTGAGAAGTATGCACCTGAGACTTTTGCCGTGCTGCTGTTGAAGCTCTCCTATCTCTATTGCATTCATCCAACAGGCAATGTCAATATTTTTGGCAGGCCTCTGTCGCCCATAAGATTTTGGTCCCTCCAACATACTGCTTGGACATCCCTGTGCTTTCAGTCTCAGGATGAAAAAGATTTTTATTTAAACCAAGTGGTCTTTTTATTAGTTGCTCTAGTATCTCATCTTTTTTCCTTCCTGTAACACTCGTTAAAATAAATGAGAACTAGGCTGCATGACTGAACATTAAGAGAACGTTCTCCTTGATACAGAGAACTGAATCTTTATGAGCTTCTTACATTGTAGCAGTTGCCTAAGCAATGAACAGTATCTGTTTTGAATTTCAAGTTTATCCTCAGTTTCAGAGGGTGTCGTGTGATGGAGCTTGTAGAAGATTTCCAGCTCAAATGTACTAGGACATTAGCAGCTTCTGCAGCTCCCTTGCTCCTCATTATAATTCTGTAAAGGCAGGCATAGATGGTTATTATGTATTACTTATTTATAAGTATTTTGTTTTGTAAACAAAGCTATTTTGTTTATTATTATTTCATTTATAAATGTTTTAAGACTGGATGCTGCTTTTGGTTTTGCTAGCATCTATCTTCAGTTAGACTTTGAGCATTCACTGTTGTCTAGGTGCTTTGGGACCACAGAGGAGACAGTGTTTACAGCAAATCACTTACTGAGTAAAGACTAGTTTTCTTTCATACACATTGAAATACTCTTCTCTTTTTCTGCCTCGTCATTGAGTAGGAGTACATGTCTATGATATAGGCATTTATATCTGATAATAAAGCTCAGTTCTGGTTGTAAATTAGATGGCTTCCTCCTTTCACAGTGAAGTCAATTTAAGATTACTTCATTATGAAGCTATCCCTTCATTAGGAAGCAGTCACTGTGGTATGGAATGAACAGCAGGAAATACATTTTGTTTGGGGCTGTTGAATGGTGCATATTTTGTGGTTATGGTTTACTGTGGGTTTGTCTTTTCCTGTATCTGCTAACGGAGTTGTGGTAACAGCTGCATGAAAGAGGGGTAACTGACTGTTACACTCCACTGCCAGTGTGCACTTGGTAGGAATATGGGACCTGGTGCTACTGCATAGTGAAGAATTTAGTCTTGCATGAGATTCTTTGCTCCGTTGCAAAATACGGATTTTTCTGTTTTCTGATCCAAATAATACATTCTTTGGTTCTTAAGATAACAGGTTTCACATTAGGAGAACACTATCGTTTTCTGAATATGTAAGAATTTATAATATTTGATACATTGCTTTTAAAGAATATACGCGTAATGAAAATGTTTATAGCTGTATTACAATATTATGTAAACACTTTCCTTTAGATGCCTGTTTAATTTTTATTTTAGGAAATGCCTTGTGTTTACTTTTAATACAAAGGAAGTACATTTCTTATTTAGGATATTGAACTGCTTTGTTGCTGACTGCCATGTGTCAGAGAACAGCAATATACTTGACAAGTTTGTTATTTTTTCTCTTTCATAAAAACAAGCTCTGCTTTTTCTATTCTGTTTAGCACTCAGAATGGAACTGTTTGAGTAAACAAAACCAAAGACAGTATTTTGCTGCATAATCTATTTTGGAAACTTCCTTTACCTGACAGCATTCTCTTAGCTATGAGCATTTATCTCCCTGTTCAGGTTGATGTGTTAGGTGGGTTAAAGAAAACGCAGTGCTATCTCCAATCTTTTGTTTCTACCTGAGTTACTCTGTCCAGCTCCAGCTACTGCATAGTAGATGGTAGGCCATTAAGTGGTGCTGATAGGCGTACAGATGCATATTAAGATAATGTTGAGTGTGTTCCCTGAAACAGTAATGAACATCTTCATGATGTGTTTGCATTTCTACTGAGGTCTGCTTGTGTTTTAGCTTGCATCTAAATTGTCTGGTAGGTCTCATATGTCACACACTCACACAGATCTGCAATGTTAGACTGTAGAGGAAGAATGATAGTACTATGTTGTTATGCAGTTAGAGCGTCCCCTGGCTTTGTCATCGTTTCAATATGTCTTTACTGAACTTGGATAGAAAGCTTGAAACATTGCCAGCCTCCACTGAGCAATAATGAAAATGCCAGCTGGAAACTTGGCGTAAGTGTTAAGAGAACTGTCTTTTGTGTAACTGAATTACCCAGTGTGTCATCTGCCAAGCTTTCCTTCAAACTTCAACTCATAAGAGGAGAAAAAGGGTGAATAATTTAACTCTAGTATGTGCAAAACCACATAGATTTTATGTTATGCCTGTCTGCAAGGTACAAATAACACCGTTTGTGTTACTGAGGAGTGTGGAAGGGTTGGCCATTTATTGCTTCCCATCCTATATTTCTGCTACCAGTGTTTTTTCGTTCCTGTTGCAATTCTGTTGCTCATGTAATGTTTCTCCTAATTTTATCTGCAGTGAATGCTGGTTCTTCATAGCATTTCTTTCATTCATCCTAATCCTGAAGAACAATATATGCTTCGTACAAGTAACTAGAAAAGTTTCCTGAAAATTTGAAAATACTTTGTTGTGAAATGTTTATGCTAATTATATAATTCTAAAATATTTATTTCTCCTTCATTTTGGTGCATATATTAGAAGTGTACCTTCAAGCCTCAGTGCCATTTTTTTCTGCTAAGCTTCACAGTTTTTGAATTGAGCTATGATTAATATGGTTTAAAGGGTTATAGAAATTTTGGAGTTGCCTTTTATATATATATATATATGCAAAAATTCATTTTTAATGAGGCCATTTTGCTTAACTGGCTAGGCACTTTTGAAAATTCCAGACATGGTTTGTCAGTTTGTATTCTTGTAGTGAGCTTTTGTCAGATAGCAGAATGGCAGTTGTTCAATATACAAATGTATTTGGCACAAATACTGTTACTAATGATTTGATGGGTAAATAAGGATGTGGCTGTTGTATAGGTAGTGTGTAGTTGAATAGTCCTGTTACGTAGTCTCATATATAAACACTTTTCAGCGCTTGTAGGTGGCAAGGGTGTATTGCTAGTGTTGGAACTGAAATCTCATCTGATAAGAGAGATTGCAATACCTACATAAAGTGCTATTTTTGTCAGTTTGAGGCTTATAAGGTATATATGTGGTGTTCTGTTCTGAGGTATGAATCTGACTCAAAGTGGCTGAACACCCTCGATTGAGGGACTGCCTTTTCTTCTGGTTTAGATCTTTATCCATTTGAAAAGTCAACCAAAAAACCCTACTCTGATTTGTCCTGCTTAGTTTCCCATTTTTCCTTTCTCTCTATGCAGCTGCTGCTCGTTATGAAGAGGGAGAATCCGAAGCCGAGAGCATTACTTCCTTCATGGACACTTCTAATCCTTTATATCAGCTTTATGACACAGTTAGAAGTTGCAGAAATAATCAGGGCCAGCTCATATCTGAACCCTTTTTCCACTTGCCTTCCAAGAAAAAGTATCCTGATTATTATCAGCAAATTAAAGCACCTATTTCATTGCAGCAGATCAGGTAAGAAAACAGAATGAAACTGCATCTGGTGGGAAACTATTCAAGGGTTTCTTTTATTTCCAGAATCCTATCTTGTGGTCAAGTTGTCGATACCTGATGCAGTGTATACCATCTTTCCTCTACATTTGATTGCTTCTTGTTTCAACTCGGTCTGCATCAGCCTTTTGGTCATCTTTCGTAGATGACTGCCGTTGGGTTTATTTTCCATGGAGTTTCGTTTGTAATGTGCCTGAAAGGTTGGCATATCAATAATTCTGAAGGCTAGATGGGCAGCAGAGGTGAAAGCTTCTGCAGAACACCCCATTATTCTCTTTCCTTGACCTTGATGGCTTGGTTACCTCTTACTGCCATATTTTTTAAATTAATAGTCTTCAGCAATGCAAGTTGTAGAAAGATAGTTGCAATTACATTCCTTTTGTCTAGGTCACAGTATAACTGTGGAGAATAATTATTTTCATTCATGAGGTAGTATGGATTGTGATGTCTGGACTGAAGTAAGCAGTACACCATTTATAAATCTGTGAGCCATGAAAGGTTCGTCAACTGCTAGAGTGCAGTTGTCAGACTAAAAACCTGAGTGAAAAGGAGTAAGCAATATCTTTCTTTAGTGGTCCAGGATAAGCTAATATGACAGATATGTGCCAGGGTCCTGAGTTCATTAATAGACCTTAATGGCACTGACCAGCCTTGGGTGGCCCTGGCCTCCTGGGGCTTCAGTCCCTGCCCGAGCTACACTGCAGGAGAGCTGGTCCTCCAGATTTAGTGAATGACTGGACCCTAACGCTGTTCATGTGTTTGTAATCCACTCTGATGCATACATCTATAAATTTTAGTCATACCACAGTATGATCTACTAGACTTGGTATAATTGTTGAATAAGCAGTGTCTTTGTTAAATCAGAAAGTAACAAAGCTGTTTTTATTTTTTTATTTATTAACCTGTCGGAGGGTGTTCTGCATGTGCTGGGGAGCAAGTATGGAGCTGCCACACTGGTTATCTGGCCATCAGTGGCTTTAAAGCATTTTTTCTTATGTCTTAGTACAGCTGTTGGCTTGGCAAAGAAAGTGTCTTGTGTTGAACAAAGCACAAAATGTACTCCATGGGGAAAAAAAAATAGGTGAAATTGAGAAAAATCATTGGCAGTTGACAGGAAGCTCTTTGTCTGAATGTACCAGAGGATCGGCTCAAATTATGCATAAACGGATTTAATTGGGAGAGACCTTCCATTAAAAATACACTTGATTTCAGTTACAGGACAAATAATTTGCCATAGGGAGGCAGCTGCATTTCTGCTTTACTTACAGTGTAGGCAGGTTGCATCTGGCTATGTGAACAGTACAGAAATTACACACAAACATACGAAGAACTGTAGAAAAAAATGACTAATCTTACTGACTGAGAGCTTAGAAAATAGAGACAGACAGTGTTTTTAGAAATAGTGTTTGTAGCTCACAAGGTAAAGTACAGTATTTGTAATAGTCCAGCTTCTTTTAGCAAATTCTGAAGTTCAACTCTTCTTCGAATTACCACATAATCTTCACTTCTTACTATACCTAAAAAGACTTGAAGTCATGCATATGTTTACTTACTTGATGTGCTTTAGGGAAAACTGAAGCCAGCATGGTTTTACTGATATCGCAAGTATGTCTTTAGGTATTCAAAACTGCCACTCATTGGGGGTGGAGTTTTTTTGTGGTTTGGTTTGTTAGGGTTTTTTTTTGTGGTGGTGGGTTTTTTGTGTTTTGTGGGTTTTGATTTTTTTTGCGATGTACGTGCAAAGAGCATATCTTCTGTTCACAGATGGGGACAGAAAAGTTAATTGTCCTAGTGAGAAGTTGAAGGTGTTGGAGTAAAACTTGGCATTCC